TATCTTTACTCTCTTAAAAGAGAGGCTTTTGGTACTGTTCATTTATGTCACAGCCGTTTTCACACTTGAATCCAATTTATCCGATTTTGCTACAGTAGTTTGTCCTTTTTTTTCCTCCTTTATATTGTTTTCCCACTTTACCCTTGAAAATCCCACCTTACACTAATTAACACATTGAGGGCTTAATGGTCACTTGCGCCCACAGTTTTGACTTTGCACAGACAAGTTTTTTTTTTAATTTTAATTTTAATTTTTTTAATTATACTATTAATATATTTTTTTGTAAACTTTTTAAGAAACGCGTTTGATGTAACTTTAACTATTTTCGATATTCATTTAGATCAATTCGATGAGTCCATAATATAGTTCTCGAAACGAGTTCGATAAAATATAGACAATATATTTTTTTATAGATGTTGCGTTTAAAAAAAAATGACGAGTTATACGCATTTTTTAAATTTGACGTCAAACTATAATTGGGAATTTGGAATGGAAAACGGCGAAATTTGACCTTGAAAACGATGTCCACCAAGCGAAGCTAGGTGGCCATGACGTGCGTGTCGAAAAGAGCTTTCTGAATTGGGGCCATGAGCTCAATTCTGATAACTGTAGCAAAACTTATAGCCAAATTAAAAATAATAATAATAATAAATTTAGAAAAAAAATAAGTCCGTAAGGAAAAAAAAAAAAAGCAGAAGAAGAAGAGAAAATTAGACACTCCGCGCTGCGCGGAGTGCTTGCCAGTGAGCACTCCGCGCAGCGCAGAGTGCTTCACTAATTTATTTATTTATTTATTTTTACGGATTGATTTGGTAATTCGACCATAACTTTGGCTACGGTTGTCAGAATCGTGCCCATGACCCCAATTTGGAAAGCTCTTTTCGACGCGCACGTCGTGCCCACCTCGCTAAGCTGGGTGGACATCGTTTTCGAGGTCAAAATTCACTATTTTTCCTTCCTCTTCATTTACGCGTTTGATGTTTGTTTAACTATTTTCGATATTCATTTAAATCATTTGACGTGTCTATGATATAGTGCTCGAAATGAGTTTCGATGTAATATAGAAAATATGTTTTTTTATACATTTCACGTAAAGGAATTAAGAAAAGTAGGGCGATAATAATTTTATTAGGAATTTTTATGCCAAAAACAAAAAAACAAAAAAAATTTTTACGCAACATCTATAAAAAATATATTTTCTATATTCTATCAAACTCATTTTGAGAATTATATTATAGACATATCGAATTATTTAAATGAATATCGAAAATAGTTAAACGTACATCAAATGCGTAAATGAAGAAAATAACTATAGGAGATTTGGAAGGGAAAACATCGAATTTTGAGGCGCGTTGAAAAGAGCTTTCCGAATTGGGATCATGGGCAGAATTCTGATAACCGTAGCCAAAATTATGATCGAATTACCCAAAAAAAAGTCCTAAAAAATAATAATAAAATAAAATAAAATATAATTTTCCAAGCACTCCGCGTCAAGCACTCTGCGCTGTGCGGAGTGCCTGAATTCAAATTTTTATTTTTTATTTTTTTTCCTTTTTTTTTAACTTATGTTTTTGTGTTCATTTTCAGGCTCATTACGGAATATCAAATAAAGTCGAAATATTATATTCTTAATATCGTTTTGAAGTATTCGCGACATAGTATTGCACGTCGTTCACGGTACGTGAAACGGTCAATCATAGCAAATGTTATCGGACGTCAAAGTAGGTATGTTCAAATTATATTTCGAAATTTTCGATAATGAGCTAACTTTAAAAATTTATCGACGACTGTGCGATAATCGAATCGATAAATATTTTACATTTTCTCGAAACTCATTTTGAGAACTATATCGTAGAGACATTGAATGATTTAAATAGATATCAAAAGCAGTTAAACGGATATTAAACGTATGTGTTAAAAAATACGAATAATTCGTTTTTCTTAAAAAAAATCAATTATTTTATTACTATTTCGAAATTTTCGATAACAAGTTAACTTTAAAAATTCGTCGACGATTATATGATAGTCGAATCGATAAATGTTTTACATTCTCTCGAATTTTTTTTTTACTTATGTTTTTGTGTTTATTTTCAGGCTCATTACGGGATATCAAATTAAGTCGAAATATTATATTCTTAATATCGTTTTAAAGTACTCGTGACATAGTATTGCACGTCGTTAACGGTGCATAAA